GGTTCAATTTAACATTAAAAAAAATAAAATAAAATAAATAAAGGGGCACCTGGGTGGCTCAGTCGGTTAGGCAGCCGACGTCAGCTCAGGTCATGATCTCATGGTTCATGGGTTCGAGCCCCGCGTCGGGCTCTGTGCTGACAGCTCAGAGCCTGGAGCCTGCTTCGGAATCTGTGACTCCCCCTCTCTCATACTCTGTCTCTGTCTCTCAAAAAATAAATAAACATTAAAAAAAATGTAAATACCTGGACTCTTTACCTGCAAGGTTTTGTTATGAGCAATCTCTTTCTCCTTCAAGGTGACTTACCTAAATAATTTGAGGTTATCTGCAAGTTGAGGGATATCAGTAATGTCCTCCTAAGGAAAAAGATAATATTTCATAAGCAGTAATTAGGTGGTGTTGATACTCTATACCTGCACTGTCGAGTACTATAGCCACTCATCACATGGAGTTATTAAAATCTGAATTAATTAAAATTAAATAAAATGAGAAACTCAGTTCCTCAATCATACTATCCACATTTCTAGCAGTTACCTCAGCGGCTGGGGAGTGGAGGAGGGCGGACAGTAGGATGGGGCATGTGCAGGGGCTTCTGGGTGGCTGGCAAAGTTCTAGTTCTTGATTTGGGTGGTGATGTGGGTGATAATTTAATACAAATTTGTTAAGCTACAGGTTGCTTTTTGTTTTTTCACTTTTCTGTTTATGTCATGTGTCATGCAAATGAAAAAAGGGGTTAAAAAAACTGACCAAACGCTACCTTTCAAGTTAAAAATCTGAGTTAGAAACTGCTACTTTTATGTACAAACAAAATATTGTACAAATTCTACCTCAGAGCGAGTAGCTCTCCTTACGTTTAGTTCACTGATTAACTTCTCAAAAGGAACCTGGTTCAAAGTTCATTCTGCAGTGTCTGTTGGTGCCTGCCTCCTAAGTGAAAAGCCTGCTGTTTAGCATCGCATGAAAATATCGAGGGAAGGAGGAGGGAATTTTTCATTTATTCTGAGAATGGTCATCATGTATCTAAGTTAGTGGAGGAAGTAGACAAAAGGGAGCTCCAATTTCATGGGCCTGTGTTTCCCATGAATGTGAGACAGGGCTCTGAATCTCTACAGAATCTTGGCATTTAGTTTGTACAGAATATTTGCGTTTGCGTGATACCAATTTCCCATTTGAAGGAAATTAATCATAAGGAAACATGAACCAAATAGCTAAGAACATATGACTCATTTTTATGTTACTATTTATATTCAGTTACAATGGATCCACTGTCTAATTCAATGTGAATTAAACTAATATTTACTCCTACCGTTTGAAGAAGTTAAAGGAAGGGCGGCATTCAACGAATGAATCAGATAGGAGAGGCATTCTGATTATAAAGGTGCTGTTTGGCTACATTTCATGGATAAGGATATGATAAAATAGTTGTACTACTTTATGTTTCACCGGAAGGTTTTGTTTATTTCCTGAAGTCAGTAGGTGTCACAAACTTTTTACAGTGTCCCAGAATAAAGGCCCTCACTGTGTCCACCTTGCCCAGGTGCAACGCATGATGACTAGGTAGATCATAGGCTTTGTATCTGTAAAGCATCTTCTTCATTCTCATAGCTAGCCATGCCATGGACTGGGTGGTTCTCTCTAGACCTGAGTGAAGGGACCGCTTTCATATTCTCGGCATGGAGCCTGCTTAAGATTCTCTTTCTCTCTCTCCCTCTGCCCTTCTCCCTTGCTCGCCATTTTTCTCTTAGTTCAAATTAAAAACAAAAAAACAAAGAAACAACTCATTTAACGTTTGTCAATCCATGAGAACACAGCCACAGTTCTGAGTTACCAGAAAAGTTCATACCAAGGTATTGTCCATTTTTCCACCTTCTAGGGTCACTTCCAAATTAGAAAGTGCTGCTTCTACTTCGTCGACCTCGGACTCATGTGTAAAGTCCTGTGTTTCAGCTGACAATGACAGTTTGCTAATGTGATACTACAATGCAAACAGAGGTTTTAGAAATGTTATAAGCTCAAATAAATCCATTAGCCATTTCTCCTTTTTGAAGGCAATCCCCCCCACTCCCTCATAGTAACAAACATCTCCTGGAAGATCTCTCTCCTATGAAGGGAAGACGACGTTTTAATCTGAATTATTTTGAGATTTATATTTAGTTGTGTTCAAACTCGATTCTTCCCCACCACTGGTTGAACTTGTAGTGAGGATAAGAATTGCAAGACTAACACCTTATATAAGATGGGCATGTGTGTGGGTTGTGAGGCGTATTTTAAATTTAAATAGACTCCCCTCATTTTCAATTCTTTCTTCAAAGAAAAAAACAGTATGAAGAAAACGAAACTTTAAGAAAATGAGTTCATTTTCTTCCAGAAAAAACGTATTGAAGTTCTCATACCTGTAACGCTGCAAAGATCATCATTTCTTCTTCCGTGCAGTCAATTTCTTCTAAGAGAATGGCCCACCTGGCTTGTTCATAGAGTTGGTTTATTCGGACAGCATCATACTAAAGAAAGAAACAGGTAGGTGTGTGTGTTGGTGGAGGGCACGTATTTATATTCCTCAGTACAAAAATTCTGGAATAACTGAGGCCATTCCTTGTTCATCAGAAACAATAAACTTGCATTCAGATAAGTGAAGGAAATACCTCTCTCTTTCTTTCCACCACCCCAGTTGATTTTACTTCCGAACTTAGCACCTTCTCAAAATATTTTCCAGAGCATCTTCAAGGGGCCAAATAGACCATCTCGATTCCATTATTTCCCCCTCTCTTTCATCACCACTTCCACTGGAGGGAAAACCCATCACCACCATCCATCTACAGGACTCTCTTCATCTTGCAAAACTGCAGCTCTGTATCCATTGTACTCCCCACAGGGAGTATACAATTTACTATATCCTCTAAACAAAAGTTGAAGAAAGTATGGAGGAGGAACGGAAAGATAGAGCACCTAAACAGATTTATCAAAGGTTGATTATCATTAGTTTATTTTTCCTTTTGCATTACCCTTATACACACTAGAAGAAAGGTGACAGGGGAGGTAAAAACCCATAGCAAGCCCAAACCAGCAACAGCACTGCTGTCGGTCCAGCAGGAAACGGGACCTGTCCACAGGCACGCTCCTCCTCAACAGTGCTAACGCTGCTGGCCAGGCAAGACAAGTGAAAACCCAAAAGTGTGGTATTCCGGAAGCTGGAACACTAAGAACCTTAAGAAAGTCTGTCTTTGCTTCCTGAACTTTGCCAGGTGTCATGGTACACCTCAGGAGCTAGCCCCAGTCGCCTCCCCCAACAAGCCCAAACAGAACACATGTGAGAATGTTCACAACAGTGTTATTCATGGCAACCCTGAGCTGGGAACGCTCCAGTGTCCCTCAGCTGGTGAACTGGTGAATGTCCCTCAACAAAATGTGGGTCACATGCATGACGGGAGGCCACTGAGCAGTAAGAGGGAGCACACTACTGATATGTAGTGGGGACCTCAGAAACATGGTGAGTCAAAGAGTTCAGATGCACAAGATTATATTCTGGAGGCTTCCATCTATGTGAAGCTTCCAGAAAAGGCAAACCTTGAGAGGGAAAGCAGACCAGTGGTGGGCTGGGAGCAGGGAATGACAACAAATGGGGTATAAGGAAACTTTTTTGGGTGATGCAAAACTTTTTTGGATTGTGGTGATGATTGCACAACCACGTGAATGTACTAACAATCATTATATTAGAATTTTATGGCACTATACTGCAATCAAGACACAACAACTAAAACACACACACACACAACGCACACCAGAAACTAAACAATCTCTGCCCCTCCCCCCCCAAAGACCCCTGCTTAATTAACAGTCTAAAGACAAAAATCTAAAGAGTATGTGCAGCCACTAAAATTTGAATTGGATTGTCATATCATATCTGTCTGTCTGCCACTCAGTCAGTGTCTACAATCCTAATGCTGTAGGACTTTTAGTGAGAGTAAGTCAAATCACCTGATAAGGCTTTTCTCTCCAATGCAGTCAGTAAAGATTAAAAAAAATCAAAGCTTCCACACTTGAACAAACCTAATTTCCCCACCACTCCCTTGAAGCCAAGTAAAACAATTCCTTGAAAGAAAAAGTTACCTACATTTACAAATTGACATCAGGAGAACAGGATCTAGTAGAAGATGTTAGAAAGGACAGGATAAGCCTGGCTCCCACTGAGGAATACTGGATTTCTCGGTGGAGCCAGCAGAGCTCTGGATTTTCTTCTTTGGAGGCTTGTTCACGTTCCCCCCTGAGGCTCTGGAACATCACAAGGTCCCAGGTTTTATGGGTCACTTATTTATTTTTAATGTTTACTCTTGAGAGAGAGAGAGAGAGAGAGAGAGAGAGAGACAGAGAGACAGACAGAGAGAGAGAGAGAGAGAGAGAGAGAGAGAGAGAGAATGAATGAGGGAGGGAGGGGCAGACCAAGAGAGGGACACAGAATCTGAAGCAGGCTCCAGGCTCTAAGCTGTGAGCACAGAGCCCGATTAGGGGCACAAACCCACGAGTTGTGAGATCATGACTTGAGCCGAAGTCAGACACTTAACCAACTGAGCCACCCAGGCGCCCCTGCAGGTCACTTATTAACAGGCACCCTGACAGGTCTTTTTCTCTTTGAGAACTCAGTCAGTGGTTTTCCCAACTTAGAAACAAAGGTTTCCCTTGGTGGGGACTGCAAATGTTTCCCTTGGTGGGGATTGGCTACTCTTGCCTTCTCCTTGGCCCTAGATTTCCTTTGTCTTCTGGTTTACTGAAAATAGAAACCCCAGACTGGAAGCTGTGGTTTCTACCACCTCCATTGCCTGAATCCCTGTTTCTCCCCCTCCAGTCAATTCAGTGAACCCCTCTGTCTTTCCACCCGAAACCAATACAAACAAATAACAAAACCTGCTTCCCACGGTTTCACTCTCTCAGGAAAGGATTACTATTTAGATCTAATCACTCAGGATTCCCTATTAGCTGTGAGGCGACTGTCAGTGTCCTCTAGGATTCTCATTGAAACTGAAGTGCCTTTTCTCTACTGAACCTTTAAAAAAAATACTGTGAATTATTGGAATTATAAAAGTTTTTTTAATCCACACATTTAAATGGGGGAAAAATAATACACAATGAAGAAATTTATTTTGAATGAATCCTAAAGGGACAAAATCATGTACACTAAAAAGTTAAGTCTCCTTCCCTTCCCTTCCCCCCACAAATGGTAGTTTCTCTATAGACTGTTTTGTTCCTTGTTTTTTTTTTTTTTCACTCGATAATATACCTTGAATATGTTCTACATCAAAAGAAACCTGATTCATTCTTCTTAGCTACAACACTATGCATGTATCATAAGGTCCTTAACCACTTCCCTGCTGACGGATGTTTAGGTAGTTTCCCATTTTCTTCCTCAAATTATGTAGCAAAGGCTGTTCTTGTGCAGACATGTTAATTCACATATTTGAGTATAACTGTGTATAAATACCAAGGAGTGGATTTGCCTGGTCAGAGCTATGTAGAATTGTAATTCTGATACATATTGTCAAACTGCCCTCCATAGGGATCAGATTAATTTGTACTTTGACCTACAAGCAGTGTACGAGAGAGCCGTTTTCCCAACGCTCTTGCAAAGATAGTGCATGAAACTTTTTGATCTTTGTCAGTACAAGGCTAAAAGCCATTGTAGTTCCTTTTCTATGAACTGTGTGTTCCCATCCTTTGATCATTAGTCTACTGGGTTGTTGGTCTTTTTATTATTGATTTCTGGGGGCTCTCTATTAGGGGAATTAACCTTTTATCTGTATGTGTTGCCAAGACTTTTAAACTTTGTATATAGTTTCTTGGCACGCATAAAACTTTCATTTTTTACGAATGTACCAATGTTTTCTTTTATGGATGCTGGGTTTTGTATTTTTAAAGTATATTATTTTTGAAATTTTGTATATTCTAGTATTTTTGTATATCTGAGATTTCAATCAGTACCTGCTACCCCAGTGCTACAGCCTGCCTGCATCTCTCTTCTGAAAGCTGGAGAAGAGAAGCTCCCTGACCCTACTGCAGTTTGGTTCCCATGTGTAGGGTGCCTTGTCAGCTTTACAATGGTTTTCTGGGTGATGTCTTTGTTCTTCTAGAGTTGATTGTAGGTTTTATGAAAACATGAACCACATCTTAAATTTCTGTACCCCTCTATCTACTCAGCACATAGTAAGAACCTTCAATTAGGTTATATTTATAGCATTCCCTACTTTAGAAGGGGGGAGAAGGGAACGCTAAAGTGGTTGGGGATCACTGTTCTTATGCCCCAAAGCTGTATCCCCAAAGCCTGAGTCTTCCTGTCACCTTTGGGTGGACAGCTTCTATTTGGCTGTTTGATCTGAATCAGTTTTGTTCATGAGCCATACAGAGAGAACTGCTTACCAGTTAAGCAAACATGACATTCACAGTGCCCTTGAAAAAAAATCAAAACAAAAAAATCCCTTCCCTTTTAGGAGAAGACGTAGGGTAGTTTCTCCTGAAGGTTTGGTTTTTTCAAAGAGCCAGAATTCGCTCTTTTGCCATGACTCAGTGGAAGTTATGCACTCTAGACACAAGCTAGGGCCATGGGCATTAAGTTGGATCTAAACCAAAGACTGAGCAGGAGCTCCACAGAAATGACAAGGAATAGGGCTTATTTTGAAGAAGATGCCAGTTAAGGAAGAAGTGGGAGCGGAGATGTGCCTTTGAAGACCAGACTTCAAATCAGGATCAAGGAGAAGACAGTGCCACGAGAGGCAGAATCACCACCGCGCACGAGAGAAGGGTCTACACAGAAGAGGTGCCTGAGGCATCCTCCTCAAACAGGTGCCTGGCAATGAACGGGAAAGAGCAATAAGCATGAAACTGGGATAAAACCACCCTGTGCGCGTGGTGGCTGGTGACTCAGTTTACATTTTCTACATTTGGCCAGTTAAGTGCTGACTTACAGCTCCACAAAAGGGCCACGCAGGGGTGAGGAAGGGGCAGAAATTCAGAGGATTTATTTCACCGCTCAGTTGTCCTAGTAAACTTCAGGCGGCAGGTGTGCACGTAATGGGAGTTGGTAGCCAGCTGGGGTACAGACGGTCCCTCTTCCCTGCAGTGGGGAGTGTAGTGTGCACCATCATGGGGCTTGTTCATGAGAACCTGCTCTTAACCTTGGCTTCCTTCCTAAGCGTTAAGGATTCCGGCTCTGTGAGCCACTCTCCTCTTGTTCCTTTGTTTATGTAGATGGAAAGGGGCAGAGCACACTGTGCTGGGCGGGAAGACCCCCACAAACTCTTGCCAACTCAGGGGCAGCTGACCATACCTGCCAGAAAGTAAAAGACGAAAATCCAAAGACAGTATATATACATTGATCGTTCTAACCCTACATAGCGAAACAGAAGATTATACACATGAACCCTACTTCTGATAACTCAATGACTCAATTTTACACTTCCATGCATTCACATTAAAGCAAAAGGAGAGACAGAAGAGAAAAAGTATCTTACTTTGGGATTCAAGTCAAAAAAAGTGTAGTATTTAAATCGTAACAGCAGCTGTTCATCCTCCTGGATGCCTTGTTCCATAAGGGAACGGGAGGAGTCCAGCCAACTAGAAAACAATAGGATGGGTTTTAAAAGTCAATCCATTTTACACACATATATTACAATATTACATAACATGTTTGTATACATACTTAAATTTATATACATGCATTTACATTTACATATACACGTATATATAAATGTACACGTGTGTGTGTGTGCGCGCGCGCGCGTGTGTGTGTATTTCCTTGAACAAAGTCCAAGTAATATAACCAAAAACCTGTAAGGGAGAGGACTTGATAATAACTTGTATCTGCATTTCATTTTATAGCTTTTACAACTTTCTAAGTGCTTTCTGTATATATATTTTGTTTACACAGATACTTTAAAGTAACCCAGTGAAGGAGCCAAGGCAGTTCTTATCTTCTCAGTTTTATACGTGAGAAAATGGAGTCTTAGTGACATTAAGTGATATATATGTTCAAGGTCATGTGCCTTGTCGTGGAGCCAGAATGAAAATCTGTACCTGCGGACTTCCCACACAGCCTCTCCTCTACACCAGCTGGTCCGACTCAACGCTGGGTCTATCTTATTGTCCAGAACTTTCTGTAACAATGGAACTATTCTATATTGCCTTGTCCAATAGAGTATCCACTAGTCACATGTGGCTACTGAAGATTTAAATGTGGCTCGTGCCACACTTTAATTTTAATTAAATTCAAATTTAAATGTAAATATCCACATGTGGCTAGAGACTCCTATACTGGGTGGTACAGTTCTAGAGTTGAAAAGTAAGTACTGGGCAATGGTGGGGGGTGGAGACGAAAAGTTAACAGCAGAACGAGGCAGGGATGAGTGGCATCCAGTACCACAGAATGAAGATGGCTTGAAAGTCTATTATAACAGGCTTTCGGGGGGGGGGGGCGGGGAACATCAGGATGACTGAAATGCAACCTCTGTCCTAAAGGAAGTGGCAGTCCAGTGGGGGAGTGAGCATCATAAGGTAGGAAATGGTGGCACGGGAGCGAGTAAGTGTCAGAACAGGAGTGCAAGGAGGTGAACCCATCCAGAATGGTGTTTCTGAGTAGGAGACAGTACGTGGCTGGGTCGAGCAGGAAGAAGGAAAAGAATCTTGCAGCAGAGCAAAGGTAGTGATAGAAACTGTGTGTGTGCACCGTAGGGGGAATGGGGTATGTGAGTGCACGGGATGGAGACATCTGCTGGGCCAGCTCTCATTGGGAGTAGAAGGCTGTGAACAACTTGACTTTATGTGGTGAACAGTGGGGAGTGAAAGAAATGGTGGTTTGAGAAGTAGTCTGAGTGTATGTTCTGAGATGACTTCAAAGCTGAAGGACTCACTCATTCAAACACCTAAGGGAAGGTGTGGTGTTCCACAAAAGGCGATGAGGGCCAGGTGGGCCACCTTGGATCTTCCCACTGCCCCATGGGACCAACCCACTTATACACTGCTCTACATCCCTTCAAAAACACTTTGCACATCCACAGGGATGGAGAAGTAGTATTCACATAGGGCAATCCATTGAGTTACCAGAACACATAAATGTTGCCATACTTCAAATGTTCTTGCAATGACCAAAGGTGGCATTTCTCCCTTCTGTAGCCAAAATCTGCGCTGATTTTTGCTAATAGTGTACAATCCCCAGGCATGCTAACTTAAAAATTAAACAATCCCCTCTCCCCCACCTCTGTGGCATCTCTCTTACTGTATCAACAACACCAGTTAACAGAGAAGGAAAATGGAGCCATGTCCTTACCCTGCGTTAAGCTTCGTTTTGTCAACCAGAGACCGAGGCTGGTACATATCAGCCAGTGCCTCTGGTGATTGGGGGGGCTGGCTGAATGCGAGGATGCTGCAGTTTTGTTCGGTCAAAGGGCTGTCACTGAACCATGTCATGGTGGATGACGCCGGCGTTCCATTGATGGGATCATATGTGGGAGTCATGGTTCTACTATATAATCCAGGACTTACTGCAAGGCAGAGGCAAGCTTGTACTATGACATGAGACTCAGAGGGAGGAATCTTTGGGAAAATAAATACTAATACTGCTTATGCTAAAATGGATTTTGAATTTAATTGTTTGCACTATTTAAAGTAAGGAGATGAGTCATGATGGGGGAGGCGTTTTTTACCTCCTGGGAAGGCTGAGAACTCACAGGCCGCAAAAGCTTCCAAAACCAACCCAGACAAATGCTGGGGACTATCTCCTTCTCAGTAATTCAAAATTCTATTTGGGGCACCTGAGTGGCTCAGTCGGTTAAGTGTCCAACTCTTGGTTTTGGCTCAAGTCATAATCTCATGGTTTGTGAGTTCAAGTCCCACATCGGGCTCTCTGCTGGCAGTGCAGAGCCTGCTTGGGATTCTCCCTCTCTCTCCCTGTCTCTCTGCTCCTCCCAGTTGTGTGCGCTCTCTTTCAAAATAAATAAATAAACTTAAAAAAAAAACCCCAAAATTCTATTTCAGCAGTAAGTTTTGGCACCATTAGAGAACAGAAGATCTCACAGAATGCATGTACAGACTATAGTTTTGGGCAAATCCTTTAAACAAATAATAGTACTTGCCAGTTTTAAGAACCTAGCTAGTTGATGGCTTATAAATCACATGGTTTGTGTAAGGAAAATGCAAATAATCCCTTTTACTCTTTGCATTGGGATATACTCTGCATGAAAACCTTTGATATTGTAAGCAGTTTGTTTTTATATAAAAAGACAAGGATATTGTCTTTCCAGAATTTTTACCTGCCCTCCTGTTACATGCCCAATGCAAAATTTATTTAAAAAAATTTTTTATGTTTTATTCATTTTTGAGAGAGAGACAGACAGACAACGTGAGCAGGGGAGGGACAGAGAGAGAGGAAGACACAGAATCTGA